ATAAATAAAAAAAAAAAACAATAGCAACATTGATTATTCAATAAATTATATTTACCACACATCTTAGTGTGAACACACCACTCACTCAATTAGAAAAAAAAACAAAACAATACAAATTCAATCATTTTTTTTTAAAGTTATAATATATATTCACACACATATAGTTATTCATTAATATAATTATTTTTTTATTTATTTTTAATTTTTATTTTAATTTAATTTTTTTTTTTACTTTTTTTTTTTTTCTATATGGTCAATTTATTTACTATTAATTTTCATCATTCATGTTGTTTTGTTTTCTTTATATTTCAAAAAAATAATTTGTATTTCAATTGCTTTATTTATAAAAAAAATCTTTAAAATTTTTTTAAAAATAATAAAAAAATACCCTCCTCCCCCACTTTCACACTCAAATAATTATTTTATTTATATTATAAAAATTATTTCTTATTCTTTTTTATATTAAAATTCTCTCAATCTCGGATTGAGATTAATAACTATCGGCTTTAATATATATACATATAAATAAAATAAAGAATAAAAACAATCATTTCATTTAATAGAGCTTTTAACGGTCTTTCATCATCATATATAAGACTATACAAAAAATTAATTAATTAACTCCCCTACAAAAAATAACTTGTAAAAATCGAGAGTTTTTTGGTAGTTGATTTAATTTAATTTAGTGTATTGTGTGTATAAATTTGTATTTCTTTGTGTGTTTTGTGTGTGATGATCATATATTTTTTTAATTAATTTAAATAAATTATACTTTTTTTTTTTCTTATTAAAAATTAAAAAAAAAAAAAAAAAGTATATATAAAATAATTATTTTTATTTTTTTAATAAATTTATTTGTTCTACAAGTGTAAAAACAACAAACATTAACCCAATAAATAAATTTATAATTGTGTATCATTAATTTTTTTCATCAATACAATTTAAATAATATAGTTTCTTTTTTTACCAATAATAATATTTTTTTGTATATAAAGTTTTATAAATCTTTTTTTTTTGTAAATTTAGTTTGATCAAAACCTTTTTTTTTCACAATAAACCAATCAAACACACTTTCTCTGATTATTTTTTTTTTTGTGTTTGTGTGTTATTTTTTTTTGTTTGCATATTATTTAACTCATTCACCCAATCAAATTATTTTTTTTTATCCATTTTTATTGTGGGGTTGTTTTATAAAAATAATTCACTATATTGTTTTTTTAAAGATTTAAAAAAATATTGGTTTTTTATATTATTTAAAGCAAAAACTAAGATAAAAAAAAAACAACAACAATATTTTATAATTTTTTTTATTAATTTTGTCATTATTATTAATATTCTTTTTATATCTATTAAAAAAAGATAATAATAATAAAACTTCTTTCTTTGTTTTTTTTTCTTTTGTAAATAACATTATATAAAATAAAAAATTCAAATAATATCTAAATCCTTATTTATATAACTAATTTTTAAATATTTAATATTATTTCTATTAAATAAAATATATTTTATTATATTATAATTTAAATTATATAAATAAAATATAAATTTCAAATTTCAAAAATTGGTTCAAAAAATTCAATTCCTTCAACTCCAAACATATCAACAGTAGAAAATAATAACAGTAATAATAACAATAATAACAACAAAACTATTGATAAAACTATTATAAACAATAGTACCCAACAAGAAGAAAATAATACTATAAAATTAACTTTAAACTATAACAACTATAGCCACAATAAAATTAATTTTAAAACCAGTAATAACAACTGTAAAATGAATTCCTTTCAACAACATTCATCCTATAACTCGAGCAGTAGAGGGTCAAATAATAGTAATTCATCCAATCATTTCCACCATCACCAACATCACAATAATAGCCACCATTTTCATCATCAACAAATTTCAACACAATTCACCGGTAACCAACAACCTGTAACATTTTTATCAATATTGAATGAAGGTAAAATTCAACTTGGTGAAGTTTCCAACTCATGGGGTCAAAATGGAGATTGGGTACTAAGAGCACTTGTAATGTCTATTAATCAATTGCTATCAATAAATGACCAAGTAAGTAAAACATTCTTATTTAAAAATCACAATATATAATATATTAATTTCTTTTTATTTTAGTATCCAAATAACCATTCACAATTTTTACCAGAACATATGAAACTCCCAATGATTACAATAGAGGGTTATATTGCAAGAATAATAAAATATTCACCATGTTCAAAAGAATGTTTTATAATCATCCTGATGTATATTGACAGACTTATCCAAAAGAGAAACTTTATTGTAAATAGTTATAACATTCATAGAATTTTAATCACATGCGTTTTAGTTGCTGCAAAATATTTAGATGGTAAGTAATACAACTAATTAAAAACCAATTTTATAATTAATTAAATTATCGATTTTCTAACCATTTTTTATTTAAATAGATATTTTTTATAATAATCAATTTTATTCACAAGTTGGTGGTGTTAGTGTTAAAGAAATAAACACAATGGAAATAGATTTATTAAAACTTCTATCCTTTGATGTCAGTGCTAGAGTAAATGAATATACTGTTTATTTTGAACATTTTAAAAGCTATTGCGAAAAATTACAACTTACCCTCAATTTCCAACCAAATACCAAAGGTTTACCAGAACCAATCCCACTTGAATTACATATGACAACTACCTCAAATAAAAATAACAACTTGTCACCAAACAATAAAGAAAAAGAAAAGGAAAAAGATAAAGAAACCAATACAAACTCAAATATTTCGAATAACAATTTAATAATAAGCAGTAATAATAATAAATCGAATGTAAATAATAACAACCCAAACGATAATAACAACTCTGTAAATAATAACACAACTAATAATAGTGATAATTCAAATGATGATAAAATAAAAAATAATAATACAAATAATAATAACAATAATAATAATCAATATCACCATCCTCTTCCATTTCGATTTCCTCCAGTCCAACCAAATATGGTGGCCTAAGAAATTCTTTGTTAGTTTATTAGGTTACAAAAGAATCAAATCTTCAAAACCTAAAAAAGAAAAAATCGAAAAAAAAAGAAAAATCTTATAAATAATATTTTTCATTATTATTATTATTATTTATTTTTTTATAAAAATTAAATATTAATACTTTTTTCCAAACTACATAATATATAAAAATATATGTAATTTTTTTAAATAAAATACTTTAAATTAAAACTATTTTTAAACTTTATTTTATTTTTTTATTTTATAAAATAATTTTTTGCTCTCCTATATTTCTATATATCGTATCCCTATAATTTATTTTGTTGAGAGTCTTTTAATTTTATTTTTACTTATTAAGCACTTTGATCTTGAAGCTGAGCTAAAATTTCTTCAGCTTCTTCTTCAGTTGGAATGTGGAAATATGGATTGTCAATTGTTGGTCTGAATAAGTATCTAAAATTTAAAACATATCTATTAATAAAAGATCTAATAGGATATATATGTTTGTTAATATTAATAACTTACCCAATAATACAATAAAAAATAAATGATGCTACAAGCAATATGAATTCGCCAACCCATGTAATGGTAAATGGAAGGCTTGATTTTAATAAAAGCATAATAATACGTGTAAAATATAAATAAGTTACGACAATATTATAAAAATATCTAAATAATCTATATTTTTGTACATCTTTTAAGACTATAGTAAAAAATAATAAAATTAGTAATAATAAAAACAATGGCAATAATAATAATAAAATAAATAATATACCTTTATGACTTAGATTTCCTTGAACTGTATTTTCGAGTTGTGATAGTGATAAATAAATTGCAAATAAAATAATTAAACAACAAAATGCGTCGAATAAGATGAAAATGCTTCTCCAACTGGTCCAACCTGATGTACCTTGTTGCTCCTCATCAATAATAATGAGGGCTATATTATCTAAAATTTGAAGTGGGACAACAATTGAAAGTAAGAGCTTATCTCTATCTGAAAAGAAAGGCTTGATAAAGTGATAACCTGAACCGATCATTGTAAGGAGAATAATGAAAAATGATGCTTGGGTAAATGCAAAAATATAATATAAAACATTCCAACCATTTGGTGAACCTATAGATTTAATATAATGTTGTTCGATCTAAATATAGTTAAATAAAAAATAAAAATATTAATACTCTGTTGCTACCCTAAATCTGTATCTAATAGTTTTTAACCTACCGAACTAAATAATAACTCTACACCTTGAATAATTAAATAGGCTGTGCATAAATGATGAATTAAATTTACTCTTTTACCACTACCTTTAAGGAAAACCATAACCCAAAAGAGTGCTAAACCAAAGAAAACAATTGAAAATACACCATATAAAGTTGGTAATGGTTCGTTACCAATTGGTAAATATGAAATTTGACTTCCGACATAATTAAGTTCGTCTAATACTAACTATATTGTTTTTAATAATAATAATAATAAGTATCGATGTATATGGAGAAACTTCTATTAAAAATGTTGAAATAATTACCTTAAAGGAAGTTTTTGACTTTGTAGTTTTGCAGTTTTTATAATATAATGTATAATATCCTGGTGGATAGGTCACTTCGCCAGCAACATCACTTTGAATTGTAATTTCTTTAACACCTTTTGAATTGAAATCTGATGCTCTAAAAACTAAATTGGGGTCTTTATCAATTAATTCACATTTTGAACTTGAATCTCCTTCAAAGACTGGTGATGATTCTTGTCCAGATATAAAAAGGAAAAATCCTACATCATCCATTGAACTATTATTTGTATTTGGTTTTTTGTCGACCTATTATATATATTAAAGTTTAAATTGTTATTATTAATATCTTTATTCTTTCCATTCTTTTTCTAAATCTGTTCTTTTAATTTTTTATTTAAACTTACAACCCAATCTGATATTTGAATTTTTAATTTACCATTTTCTCCAAAACCAAAACCTTCAATTGAAAACATCTTTCTTTCATCATCTTTAATTTCTAAATGATGTTTATATGCATTAATGATTGAAGAAGAGTACAATAAAATACCCAATATTAATAATACTATACAAGTTCGCATTTTGTTAATATTATTTATTTTATTTTATTTAAACTATTTATTAAAAACAACAATAACAAAATATACAATTGTTGTATCAAAAGAACAAAACAACAAAAAAAATAAAAGAAATATAAAGCAAATAAAAATAAAATAATTAAAAATCTATAAAAAAAAAAAAAAATAAAAAAAAAAAATTTAATTAATTATAAAAAAAAAATAAAAATAAAATAAAATTAAAAAAAAAAAAAAAAAACTAAATATTTTTAAATTTTTGTTTTAATATGCAAACAATGTTTACTTATGTGTTAAAAAAATAAATTAAAAAAAAAATAAAAAAATAAATAAATATCAATTATAACTATATAAGTTATAAATAATAAACTTTTTTTTTTTTTTATGAAATTTAAAAAAAAATTAAAAATTTATCCACAATAATAATTTTAATAATGTGTACAGTTAAAAATATTTTTAGGGGGTTTTTTATTCTATTTTAGGCATCAACTGAATAGTTTCTGGATTTTAAATACTCTTTAACTTTTTCTAAAGATCTTGTACGATGTGAAATTGTATTCTTTATAGATTTATCCATTTCAGCATAAGTTTCAGCAAAGCCGTCTGGTTGGAACACTGGATCCCAACCAAAGTTACGTGGACCACGTGGAGGAACAATAACACCTTTGGTAATACCTTCAAATACAATTGGTTCATGACCTGGACCTTCACAGAAAGCAAAATTACATAAAGCATAGCCAGATTTATCAGTCCAACCTTCCAATAATTGATATAAACCTTCTGGTTGTAATTTATCTAAAAACCATTTTACATATGGTCCTGGTAATCCTTTTAATGCGTTAAAACATAAACATGTATCTTCAACTAATACTGGTCCATCAACTTTCTTTTGCAGCGATTTTACATTTTTCAATTGAAATATCAATTGGATCACCTTGTAATTCTGGGTACTATTTAATTTATTAAATTAAATTAAATAAATTTTAATAAATTTAAAATAAAATAAATAAATATAGTAATGTTTTATATAATCATTTAAACTGTTGTAATAGGGGGGTAATATATTATATTTATTTTAATTTTTCCTCCTTTTACATAACAAATC